GATGTTGAACATTTTTTCATGTATTTATTTGCTGTTTCTACTTCTTTGTCTGAGAAATGTCTGTTCATTTCAGCTGCCCATTTTTGGATTGGGTCTTTAAATTTGGGAAGTCTGATCTTTTAAAGTTATTTATAGGAGAATCCTTGAATTATATACTTGCAATTATAATATTCACAGCTGTCTTCATATTGTGCCCCAATACAGGGTACCAAATCATGTTCCAACACCAAATTAGAGAGTACCCCCTTTCCTATTTTATTTGAAATTCTACTCCCAATCAATCTAACAGCTCTTGAGGTTTGTTTTTCTCTAGGCTGGAGGTTATGAGTAAACATTTCTTGGCCCCCTTAAACTATTTTTGACTTTAAGCAAATATATATATTTCATCACCATGCTGAGTTCTCTATTATTACCATTATTATTTCTCTCTTTTTTTGTACCAGGGATCAAACTTGGGGCCTTGCGCACGCGAGGCAGGTGCTGGAACCACTGAGCTAAATCTCCAGCACTCCATTATTATTTCATATGACTTCTATTTTACAAATTATTGTTTCTCCATTGACTTGCAGGGTGATAATTTTGATCCGAAAAAGGTTTTAAATTATATTTAGGTATACTTGTATGTCTTCTTATTCTTGAAGGGTATTTTTGCCTCCACATGATTTTGCTCAGTGGATTATATACACAGTATAATTTCCAGGTGTTCACCTAAATGAAGAGTGTGTTTTCAGATGAAGTCATTCGGCCCTGTCATTATTGAGTGAGGCAGGATTGTGAAATGGGGGATCAACTTTACTTTCTTCTAGAATTATAGGCACTTCCATTTGCTTTCATTCCACAAGGCAACCTTTTCTTATTACATTGAAACATAATCTTTCATATGTTGAGAGCCCTCATACATGGAGACTCAATTGCTGCTTTTTTCAACAAATGACAACTGAATATCTGTTACAAGCCAGAATGATAGGGTCATTCTATGTCATACGCTAATATTTCAGAGCTTTTGTTAATTTCATTGTTAGCATGTGTTACTTGTAATGTCTTTCACTTAGTTCCTTAAGAAATGGTGGTGTTGAGGGTGGAAGCCAGAGCCTCACCCATGCTAGGAAGACACTTTGTGGCTGAGCTACACCACAGCCCCCATTTCAGTTAGTTGTTGAGGCTCCATGACATTTTATTTGCCTTTTTTTTTTGTGGTATGGGGGATCGGGATTGAACTCCGGTCCTTGCGCTTGCGCAGCAGGCAGCGAAACCACTGAGCTAAATCCCCGGCCCAACACAGTCATTTTGAATCAACTCTATTCAACCTGATTTCATTTACATAACTTCTTATTGTCTTAAAATGCATACATATTTACATAGGTTTGGAAAAATACAAAGATGAACAAAGCAGGTGAGTTT